CGTTGCTGGTCACTGCGGTCGCATACATCTGCGGCATTGTAGGACAGTCGTCGCTACTGCAGCGGCACGTTCGCAAGTTCGTCGAGGACTACGGTACACCGCTTACCGTGATCTTCTTCACCGGTTTCGTCCACATCGGAAAGATGGCTGGCATTGAGTTGCTCAAGCTACCTACTTCGAAGGCATTCTTTCCCACTACTGATCGCGGGTGGTTCATCCACTTCTGGGATATCAGTGTCGGCGATGTGTTCCTGGCTATTCCGTTTGCCGTACTTCTGACTATTCTGTTCTGGTTCGACCACAACGTTTCTAGTCTAATCGCGCAGGGCACGGAATTCCCGCTGCGCAAACCGGCAGGCTTTCATTGGGATATTTTTCTCCTCGGTATCACGACTGGAGTTGCGGGATTACTGGGCATCCCATTCCCGAACGGTCTCATCCCGCAGGCACCGTTTCACACTACATCGCTTTGCGTTGCACGCACTGTCGCCGATTCCGACGACGAAGACAACAAAGGCCATGGCAAACGCGTTGTCGACCATGTGGTAGAGCAGCGCGTGTCAAACCTCGCTCAAGGCCTCCTCACCCTAGGCACGATGACTGGACCTCTTCTCATCGTACTGCACCTCATACCACAAGCTGTACTAGCTGGGTTGTTCTTCGTCATGGGAATCCAGGCACTAGAAGCAAACGGCATCACACTAAAACTCATCTTCCTCGCAAAAGACAAGCACCTCACATCACGATCCGACCCATTAGCACAGATCAAGCGGCGCTGGGTCATTTGGGCTTTCGTCGGACTCGAACTCGTTGGCTTCGGTGCCACCTTTGCGATTACTCAGACAATCGCTGCCATTGGATTCCCGGTCTTCATCTTCCTGTACATACCCATGCGGACGTTCTTGATGCCAAACTTCTTCACGCAAGAAGAGTTGAATGTTCTTGATGCGCCGACTGCTAGTCCTTTTACCATGGAGTCGGTGGGCGGTAACCATGGGCAGGTTGTGGAACCGGATTCGAATGAACAGGTCCTCCAGGAGAGTGAAGAGGCTGAGAGAGGGGAAAGGCGGAGTAGTCATGACGAGAAGATGGGTGTTCTTGAAGGGCCGAGTAGGAGGAGAGGTAGTTTCCAAAGGGCGGACTAGTCGGAAGACTCAAAGAGCAATTAGTAAAGTAGCCGGAGAAGGCCACAACGTTAGCAGAATCTATGGGCCTAAGCAACGTCTTGAGAAGCGAATGACAGAGATTTTCGGTTGAATAGTACACTAACTGCACATGTAGACATATCGCGCGATTACTCTCTTGGCGCGTTGTAATCGATGGCTGTGGTTCGGAGCGGAAAACATACCTAATCGTACCCAGCTGTACTTGGCAAGGGCATCGCCCAGACGACGGACTGTCTTGATCTCCCCCCACTTATCTACATCCATCAGCCAAGACTCCAGGATATTGCCCGCTCCAATCATGGATCGGCTGGCAGATGCGCCGAAGCCCAGCTTCCAGACCTCGGGATTTGGGATTACGTGCGTGAATGCCGGCGAGAAGTTGCTGGCTACGAAAACAATACCTTCGCACGTTGGAAGATCATTGTTTCTCGAGGACTCTGGAATTACGCAGAGATATTGGAAAAGGCTTTTGTGAAAGAGAATTGATATCATCTAGCAAGTGCTGACACCGGGGGTGGACCGGCGGCTTCTCGGTGAGCTCACACCTGGAGAAAAAGCCCACGGCACCGCACGATAACATCGCGGGATGACTGATAGATACTCAACAGTGGGCATCAAGGACATCAAGGTAGATACCAGCGATGCTTGGTATTGCCAAGAATTTCCTCTGAAGATTCATAAACGGGCATGTCGAAGAGCAATAGCATGAGGTCCTTGATTACCGACTTCGTCTTCCATCAGCCTCCGGTATGCCGTCCCTCACCAAGTTACTGCCGCTTCTGGCAAGCATTGCCTCGCTCTCAGAATCCAAACCCTTGAACCAGCCATCGGTCGTCTTCGCTCCCTTGAAAAGCACTACTCCCGGAAGCGCGCAAAACATCGTTGTCGACTACTACGGAGATGTCGATGGTGAACTTACGATCACATACGCGACTTGTGACGATGCTGCCGCTTCCATCGTTTCCGCGAAGCAACGCATAGGCCAGACGCATGTCGGCGCTCATCCTTTGGCGAGACGCCATGAGGAGCATGAGAACAGGCGGCCGAACAAATTCGTTTGGTTGACTCCGGCTGAGATGTCTGGGGGCTGTCTTCATGCCTTTCTTGATGGAGAGCTCATCGGAAAGTCTGACGAGCTCGTTGTCGCTAAGCGCTATGCTCGCCGACAGGAGAGGAAGTCGTTTGTTGACGTTGCGGGGACTGACAGCAATTGGTTTGATGGCGTTGCATATTTGCAGCAGAAGCAGCCTGATGAGGTTTTTGTTGCCTCGGCTAAGAACAAGTCTTTTGGCATTTTGGGTGGAGGTATCTCTGGACTTGCGACTTCAGTACGTATACGTATCAACCAAGATATCAAATTCGTGCTAACGAGACGCCCCATAGTTGATGCTGGACTCCGTTGGCATTCACAACTGGAAGATCATCGAGTCGTCTCAGCGTATTGGTGGTCGCATTCGCACAGCCTACCTCAACGGCACTTCCCCCGATGAAGGTCAATATCACGAGCTTGGGCCCATGCGTTTTCCGTATGAGATCACAGACTCTGAGACCAACGAGACCTTCCCCTTCAACGATCAGCGCATGATCTTCCAGCTAGCCGACGTCCTCAACGAGCTCAACGCTGACAAGGAAGAGCTTCACGTCAAGTTCATCGAGTGGATCCAGTCATCTCCCAACACCCCAGCCGACAGTCCCTTCCGCCGTCCCGATGGAACAATCCCCAGCAAGACTGAAATCGCGACTGACCCTGCATACAAGAACACCATCGCATACGGCAACGCCACTGCCGTCGAAGAAGCCAACGCCGCTCTCGATGAGTTCAAGGGTCTCGATGCAGAGCGCGTTAAGATGTACGCCACCAACATCTTCAAAGCCTACAAGCAAGCCAAAGACGACGGCATGTTCGATTACTCCGAGGTAGCCTACCTCCGTAACAAGCTCAAATTTGATCTCAACACCACCGACGAAGTCGGCCAATCCCACATCTACTGGCCCATGTGGGAATACGAAACCGTCTACTTCCTCGCCTCCAAATGGGTCACGATCAAAGGCGGCCTTTCCAGAATGCCTGCAGCTTTCGAGCCCCTCGTCAAAGACCGCATCCAATACAAAGCGAAGATAAATGGCATCCACTGGAACCCAAACAACAAAACCGTCTCCGTATCCTGGAAGCCCACAGGCTCAGAACCCTACTCTACCCCCGACAACGTCGAAAACTTCGACTACGTACTCAACAGCGTGCCCCTCAACCTCATGAAATTCTGGACTCTGCCCCGCTACTCCAGCCTGCTAAAACGCGCCATCGACCGCACCCTCTTCGCCAACGCGTGTAAAGTAGCCGTACAATTCAAGTCACGATTTTGGGAACACCTCCCCTCCCCCATCTACGGCGGCTGCACGCGCCTCTCCACGCCCAACCTAGGCCAAATCTGCTACCCCTCCCACGACATCAACGCGACCGGCCCGGGCACAATGCTCGCATCCTACCTCTCCGACTACGAAGCCACCGTCGCGTGCGCGATGCCCGAAGCCGAACACATGGCGTATATCAAACGCGGCTTCAGCCTCATGCACGGCGAGTCCGTAATCGAAGAGAACTGGACTGGCAACTACGAGCGGCAGTGTTGGGAGCAGGATGAGCACCAGGCTGGTGCGTTTACGATGCAGATTGCAGGGCAGCAGACGCTGTACTTGCCGGCGTTTTATCAGACGGAATACAATACGGTGTTTATTGGGGAGGCGGCGACGTTTACGCATACGTGGATTTTTAGTGCGTTGGAAGCTGCGGTGAGGGGGACTGTGCAGGTGCTGCTTGATATGGGGTTGGTGGAGGAGGCGAAGGAGGTTACGGGGACGTGGATGGCGAGGTTTATTGAGGTTTAGCATGGATGTAGAGTAATTGGTTGATGTGATGATGGATCGATGGACCGGTTTGGAGTCAACATAGCGGTATTGAGTGTCTTCTCTAGGCATTGCCAAAGTATTGTCGGGTTGTCGCGTATTCTTTGCCCACAGTGTCTTTCGCTTTTCTTTATCATGTCGTCGTCTTGGTAATGTTTTGCGTCATTATTCTATGCTTGCTTCATATTGTAGGCACGAAGTCGTCTGCTGTCTTTTTGAGACCGCCAAGGCCATGCCTGATTGGGCCTAGCTTCTGTTGCCCAGAGAATTCGGGGCTCCTTCCAAGGTTCGTCTTCGGTAACACCACTTTGCCGGTTCCTGCACCCAGCTGATCATCGACATCCGAATTTCCTACAATCTATTCGTCCATGTTTGCGCAACGCGGTAGCCGCGGCAATACTCGTACCAACTCCGACAGCATGCGTTATGCAGAGGGTTCAGAGTGCCACGTACGGCGCTTCCCCGAAGCTGCAAGCCAAACACCATGCATTGCAGTGTCCTTCTTGATTTGACGAATTCATTCCAGTTGCAATGGCGCGACATTGCAGCTTTTTTTTTTTGAGGACGATTGGAAAGCGACGCACTTAGTTTAGAGATGAGTATGAGTGCGACGTTGGCAAAATGTGCTGATGGTCGAAATTTATGGAGGATCGTTGCGGCGCATGTCGATTGGATCTCGTTCACAGCGGTTAACTGCAGGGTAGCTGCAGAACCCAAAGGCTGTGCAGCACGATAGGGGCGGTGCCCCGCCTACCCTTCGCAACAGAGGTGTTAGCCTTGCCACACGTCCTGCCAGGTCGCCAAACCATCGCCAGCTCCGTTCCTGACCGTGAATGGACCACATATTCAGCGTTCGTTACACTCCTTGAGCATACTTCCCGGACCTTGAGGTGTACAGCTTCCGCATATCTGCTCGCCGAACGAAACGGCCCTATGGCCCTGCAAAGTTTCGAGGAGGACCTCTTACGAAGATGGTTTCCTCCCAACGCTGAAGAGACGTCGGCACCCTTCACCGAGAACGACATTCGCGAGATCGCAGACGTGTTGACTCGCTGTGCACGGGAGCGCTGGAGCCGGGTCCCAAGAGTTTATAGCATACTCAGGAAGATTGGCCAGCTAGAGACGATTGACGCATTCATTGACAGCGACATAACAGACGTTTACTTCCCATTCACCAAGAGTACGCTACCGGAGGCGCTCCGCGATCATTCTGCACGACTCAGATTCCTCGAATTGCAACACCTCGTCTACAACCGGGAAGCGCTAAGTCTTGAGCGACATGCGCCTCACGGACACTTCAACGATTCTACAGAGGTACCTTTCAAGAAGGTTGGAGAGTTAGGCAAGGGTGGATTCGGATACGTCGATCGCGTTGTCAGCACTATAAGTCATAAGGAGTACGCACGCAAGCTCATATTGAGAGGAAAGACCTTCAAGAAGGACAAACAAGTCTTGAAAGACTTCACGACAGAGCTATGGAATCTCAAAAGGCTATCTCACAAGCACCTTGTTGAGTTGGTCGGCAGTTATACGGACAGGAAATTCGTAGCCATCGTAATGCTCCCAGTAGCCGATGCGAATTTGCAAACGTTCCTGGAGAGAGCAGACTTGAACGAAAACTCCCGGTCCTTCTTAAGACCCTTCTTCGGCTGTCTGACTTCCGCGCTATGCTATCTACACGACAATCGTATCCGACACAAAGACATCAAGCCGTCAAACGTACTTATCAAGGGCGACCAGGTCTACTTCACTGACTTCGGGACAGCACTCGATTGGTCCAGCAGTGGTAGTAGCGTCACAGCGACCGCAGCGCCTACGACTCCCCGTTATTGCGCTCCTGAAGTCATGGCCTACACCGAACGTAGTTCATCGTCTGATATCTGGTCCCTTGGCTGCGTATTCTTAGAAATGTGGACTGTCCTGGAATCGCGCACGCTCGAAGACTTAGGAGCACACATGATTGCGCATGGTTCTGGCGTGAAGGCGTATCACTCCAACGCCGAAGCCGTTACCATGTGGATAGAAGTTCTTCGACACTCCTCAAGACCACCAAGTGACCACATTCCCTCCAATTGGATTGTAAATATGCTACAAGATAAACCGACAAACCGCTGGAATATACACACTCTCGACGATCAAATCCAGGAAGTGAGCATAGACCCATCATCAGAGCATGCGTTCAAGGGTTTATGCTGCCTTGAGCCAGATGACGATACTACCAATGAAACAGAATCCTTTGATGAGTGTTTCGAAGCCGACGCTCGTACACAGCCGCTACATACTCTCGAACGAAGAGATTCAGGGCAGCTCGTAGGGCCTGCATCGTTGGAAGAGCACCGGCTTGAGGAAACAGTGGAAATTGAAGCCACCAGTTCTGCCGATCTATCGTCGCTATCCCAAGCCGATGCATCTGTTCCCCGGATATTGGTGAACGACTGCTCTGTTCCTCCTGAGACCTTCGTAAAAGATAGGAGTGATTCTTTAGCACGTGAGCTATATGATCCTTTGGTACCAACTAGATCTACGGACGACACGGAAGAAGCTGGTCCAAAAACCGACGATATCATGCATTCCGCCACGGACCACACTTTCAGTGGCTCGGACGATAAAACTCTTCAGGACGACGGGACGAAGCAGGCACAAACGCCACTGTCTCCGACTTATGTTGCTATGCCACCCTCCAGCACAGCATTTCCCTCGTTATTTAGAACAGTGCAGCCAACTCTTTATTGTCCAGAATCTGGGAAAATGCTCTATAACCCAGATACTAGACAGCGCCATTGTGACATTATTTGTAACATCTGCAATTGGCAGATAGCAAATGTAAAGTCAGATCCGGTCAGACTTCCCTGTGATCATTGGATCCACAGGAAATGCTATGCTCAGGACAAGATAGCCATGGATTATGCCTGTCCAGCATGTATCTTGGCGAGCAAGAAACCGGCTGGCCAAGCGAATCGCCACCTTTGGGGATCTTATGGTCGCGCCCAAGAACGCAAAGAAGCTCAAAACGGCTTGAGAAATGCTGGAGCCAACAAGCCATCGCGCGACAATCCTAGAGGATTTTCACCTATTGTCCCGGCGGCGGTAACCAGGCCTGACGACGTGGAACTTACATATGAACTGCCTCGGATACCTTACGCGCAACGCCATATGCTTCCGGAGGACCACCATCTTTACAAACGTACTGGACGGCCTATTCCGCGCTCAGATCTAGAATTGATGCTGCAAAAGTATCGTGCGGCTAGTGAGAGGAGATCCAAGAAGCTTGAGTCCAGAAGCTTGAGTACTGACGCCAAAGCGACAGTTAAGAGTGGCCGCTCAATATTCACCCCGCTGCAAACCTTGTTTGCAGAAAAGTTTTCAAAAAAGCAATTGCAAACGGAGGTGGAGGAACTCAGAGGGCGGCTCCCTTCCAGACCAATGTTCCATTTTGTGGAAATAGATTAGCCTGCATACTCAAATATTGAGGTCAGAACGGGCTGGAATAGACGCAGTAGTAGTAGTAGTACGCTCTCTTGATGAAGAGATATGGCACGTTGAGAGTGGGTCATCGGATTGCAACTGCGACCGGGAAAAATATACAACATCTACGGAATTTTGTATGGCAGCAAACTACTGCGACACGTGATGCGGGCGTTCTGTGAACTTGCGTCATTGATCATCTAATGATACCGTCTATATTTAGCCTGACCAAATGCCTCTAGAACTCCACCCGTCATAGAAGCTTACAAAAGAGTATCGCCAAGCGCGCACCTCACAATCGAAACACCAGCGCGAACAGTGTCGCCAGCACCCTCAGCATCAAGGCTGGGGTTAACCTCAACGAGATCCAGCGCTATAAGTTGACCAGTCGCAGCAACGCTCTCAGCGATGAAGTCGCCCTCGCGCAGCGTCAAACCACCGCGTACGGGAGTACCGGTGCTGGGCGCCCACATGGGATCCAGAGCGTCGACGTCGAAGGAGAGGTGGATGGGCGTGTCGCTTCCGATCCAACCCAGTGCCATATCCATGACTTTGCCAATGCCGTACCTGTCGTCCTGTTAGCAACCCAACCCCAGCTTCGGGGCAGGAAATACAACATACCTGTCAATCTCATGCATACTATACGCCTTAATCCCGTGTTCCCTCAAAATCTTCTTCTCCCCCTTATCAATATCCCTCAACCCAATATACACCAACTTCTTCGGACTAATCAGATGCTCTTTCTCCAGCCACGCAAACACATCCTCTCTCTTCAATTCCTCCTTCTCCTTATCCGCCACAAGATCCGCCAAAAAGGCAACCGGCATACCATGAATATTGCCGCTCTCGCTCGACTCAGGCGTATTAATATCCGCATGCGCGTCCACCCAAATCACCGCAATCTCCTTACCCAACCGCTCCCGCACGGCTTTTGCAGTCCCGGAAACGGTGCCGATGGCGATGGAGTGGTCGCCGCCGAGGGTAAGCACGAGTTTTCCTGTTTTGGCGTGGGCGTAGACTTGGTCGGAGACTTGCTTTGTAACCGCGGACACGAATCTGGGTTGCTTCATTCTGTGGACTTCGGGGTCGGAGGCGGGGCGTAGTTCCGAGTAGTTGTGCACTTGGCCGTCGTAGGTGACGTTGAAGTCGAGGTCTTGTTCTAACTGCTTGATGAGGCCGTTTTCGATGAGCGCCATGGGGGCGGCGTCGACGCCGGCTTTGGGCTAGAGGAAACATTGTTAGTTACTCTTGTTTTGGGTGGAAAGAGGTGTGGTGGGTGGGTGGGCTTACCTGGCCGCCGCTGAAGCCGACTGCGACGATGCCTAGGTCATGCTTGTTCGGCAGGAACTTGGGCTGTAGTGTGGGTGCGGAAGTCATTTTGCTGGAGGTGAGGTTAGTCATGTGATTTGTTGTGTGGTAGTGGGCAGAGATGTGGGAAAGATGGGATTGTACGTGGGTTGGTCGTCGCAGAAAGTGCGACTTCTAGATAGCAAACCACCACGTCGCAAACCACGTCATCAAAAGCAATTGCAGTTGTCTCTTACCTTTTGCTGTGAATTCGTATACCAATAATAAAATGTCTTCCAATCTATCATGCAAGAAAAGTGCTAATACCGCAATGCGTACAACAACACTCTTCCAAAATTATCCCAACTCAACTCAGTCAAGAAGCCGAAGAAATGCGAGATATGCAGAAACCAACTCCAAAACCGAGGGCGGGCAGCCTTTTATGCATTTTATCTGCGCCGGATACGCTTACAATCTCTTACCTAATTCCGTGTTGCTGAATTTTCCCTCCATCGTGTGCACCTGTACTTAAGGGAAGCGTCTGATGAGGCTCTCGTCAAATTTATCACTTAGGGGAAGTAGTCTTTATCTTAGGACCGGTAACGCGTTAGGTACCGTAAGAATGCCCCCACTACCGCCCCGGTTGCGCGCCAACACGCTTTAGGGAGGTGCGCATGGCTGGGGTGGTGTCAACGTGGCTTTTGCGCATGCTGTGGAACAGTGAAACTGTGTATGTATTTGTTGACCACGGCTGTGTAGAGGCTCGCCTTTGCTGGTAGGATGGCTCGGAGGTGCACTGGAAAAGCGATTGGTTGGGCAGGAAGGGGTCTAATCCCGGCGTGGAATGGCCGGCTGCGATCGGCTTTGCCGGCACCTGGGTTCAGCCGCATGCTGAGGCTTGGAGCCAGCTGACCTTTCTTGCACCGTTCATCGCAGTCACATGCACTCTACCGTGTCCAACGCCAACGCCAACGCCGCTAATGCCCGGTCCCGCAATACGTTTTGTGGCTTCCAAGTCCGCGAAGAACAGCTCAGGAACTGTTCATCTGCTGTGTCATGTCAAGCCTGGGGTTAGTGCGCAGCGCGAAGGCATCGCAGCAGTCTCTGATGAGCGCATTGAGATATGCGTTGCCGCTCAGCCGAAAGACGGAGAGGCGAATAGGGCGGTGAGGGAAGTCATTGCTGGTGCGCTTCGAGTTGCGAAGTCTGATGTTGAGGTTGTCAAAGGCATGAAGAGTAGGGATAAGACGGTAGTTGTTCGTACAGGCGTGGTTGGCACAGCTGAGGAGGAAGTCAATCACATCAGAGCAGTCTTGGAAGGCAAAGAATGAAGTTTCAAAATCGTGTCAAGGCATTACTATTATATTACTTTTGTGCCCGGGTCATTAAGGAGCGTCATATGTACAGCATGGATATCTCCATCTACCCCTTCATGTTCATTATCCAATAGACATTAAAGATCCCCACTACCACCATTTCCAGGTGTTAGAGCGACATCTAGTATTGCCAGGCACCAGCATCTTCGGTCGCAACTGTAGAGAATCGTTAGCACATGTTTGAAATGTCAGAAGAAGCAGAAAACTTACCAGTAAGAGCGCTGAAACCGAGGCACTCATCAGAGAACTCGCCGTCCTCAACGGCACCAAAGACTTGGTATCCCTCGCCCTCGCCAGCCGGGCAGGCAACGAAGCCAGTCTCGTATTCGAGGTATCCGAAGGCGTTGCCGTTGGCAGGCGCCGTGCGGCTGAAGCCAGTGACGTCGGAGCCTTCGGGCTTGGAGACGGAGTGGGCAGTGGTGTATTGGAGAGCACCGCCGGGCGCAACGTAGACCTCCTGGCCACCGGGGACGACAACGCCAAGGGAGAGAGTTCCCTGGCCGCCAGCCAGCACAGTGGTGTTACCAGGAGGGCAGCTTCCAGCGGGAAGGTTGGAAGGGCAGTAGGACGAGGGAGGGCCGCCGCCGAGGTAGAACTTTCCGCCGCGTGCGGTCAGGGACTGGAGGTGGATGGGCGAGGCGCTGCGCGAGGAGATGACGCCGAAGTAGCCGGTGGGAGCGGCTTCGGCAGGAGCGGTCGACGACGAGGCAGGTGCGCTGCCGGTGACGGTCGCAGTGTGCGAGGGCTTGGGGCAGTCGGAGGAGATGGCAGTCGCCATGGCGCTGGCGATGAGCGTGGTGATAGCGACGGTGTACTTCATCGTGGCGAGTTGTGTGTGATGTGGTGTGGAAGAACTTCGAAAGCGAGTGTTGTAAAGGGAGTTATAAACTAGTCTTTGCTGTGAATTGCTTTTGAAAGTTTGCTGAGGATGATGACCCTTTGTGCAGCGCCGTTCGCGGAACCCTTTATAGTAATGGCCAACAGACGGAGACGGTGCAGGGTGTGAGGGGTTTGTTTCTGTTCTACCGTCTTCCAACCTACAAAACGCGACTAAACAAAGTAACATTGACCCTCCGACCTGTGTTCCCCACCGTCATTCCTCGTATCCATGCAGACGCAGTCGCTGCACTGTCCCTGCAGGCTTGAACCATGCCCGTAGCAGTAATGTCCCGGCCGTTTAAGCTCACCCTAAGCATGCTTCAGGCACTGATCAGCCCGTCAATATCGCTGGAAACATGACGAAAACGGGTGAGCTAGCCTGCGCGCTGCATCCTCGCATTGAAGCTTCCGACACGCAGACGTCATATCGACTCTCTGACGTACCGTACCGTATACGCCTTCTTGTCGACAAGCTGATCACCTCGTGTTTCAATGTCACCAGACTGACGTTGGGCAGTTGGCTGGTTGTGTGATCTAATACGGTGGTCCCGGTCGCATCGGGCGAGAGTTTTCCCACCACACGATAACGGCATCATACGGCGGTATGTATGCGAAAGTGCCGGTGGATGCGGTGGCATTGAATCTTTCCGCATCCCGCATCTCGGTATCGCTAGCCGGTCGCTATTTGGATTTGAACATCAACCTTCCAAAACCACCTCGATAGCTCCTCTCCACCTCACAATTCCCATTACACAACAAATTCCCCCTTCGGAGGTTATCCGTATGGCGCCATCTCCCCAGCCTCCGTGCCACGAGGACGTGTTACCACGGTACCTGTGTTCGTTGATGTCGTACGAGCTGTACACGGTCGAGAGGAAAAAACGAGGCTGGCAGAAGGACACGATCCCCGCTGGTGCCACACCCGCTACCTTAGTGCTCCTACCCACCCATCGCCACATCCGGAAATAGAAACCCACCAAACCTCGTATTTGCAACCAGCGCTACCCGTGAAAGTAGCAGGCGACAGTAGCAGATACGAACCGGTTATATGGAGATCGTGAGGAAAGGGTACAGCGCGGATGGTGGTAAGCGGGCGGAAGGCGTCGGCACCTTTTTGTTGCGATAAGACAAAATCATGCCCAGGTGTCATGAAGTTTTTCTGCTTACGCCGGAGAATTGTCCGTCGGAAGTTCTATTCTTAACGACAAAGCGCGGTAGCGGAGATGTCTGTTTCTCCGACGGCAGACAGCAGACAGCACATGTTCCTCATGGCAAGCACGCGAGTACCGTTCTGTCAAGTTCATGTTCGCGCATGAAAAGACCGGGCCGTCCCCTGTCGCATACTATGGAGATACTGCTGCTTTCGGCCGAATGGGAAAAAACAAACCACGGTACGCGAATTATCTAGCCATGTACCTCACATGCGATAGTCGCATACACGCATGCGTTCGATAAATTCGATAATCGCGATGGCTCTGAAGTTTTTTTGGGATGGAGGATTCATGCATGGACTATTTAATTCCGCTTTTGGAGAGGGTGGAGAGGGTAGAGCGGTGTAAATGGCCGTGGATGTGGGGAATTGAGAAAGTGAGTGAGGGTGCTGGATATTCCTTTGTGGAATACCGAGGTTTGTGAGTATCGGAACATTCGAGAGTTTTCACTCTCATTCACTAGCTGGAAAGAACTCCAACGACGAGCACAAGAGCTTGGATGATATTGAACCAACGGCGATTCGATGGCAGAACTTCCTGCTAGAGATCCATACGAAGTGTTCCTTGTGTCCATACAAACAGCTATTGCGATCGCCCCGCCCACCAAGGTACAACCTCAATAGCCGGCACGACGTTACCCCACAGTCCGACAAGCGACCTCGTCTTCGACCACGGAAGCTAGCTTTTAAGCAAGTTTGTGTATCCTCTAGTAGTCCAAGTCCCCCTTACTAGCAAGCGCGAAGGTCGTGAAACTAGAGTTGAGCTGACCAGATGTTCAAAAAGAAGGTACGGACACATGACCAAAGCTACCGTGAGGGCGTGAAGTTCGTGAAGATGATAAAGACAACTGGTATGAGCGCATTCGTAGAGATGTTTCACACAGTCAAGTGACAAAGGGATTGTGATCGTTCCACCCATCCAGGTACAACATCAACGGCACCAAAGAAGGTCAGACGAACGTGTGAGCTGAACGCGCAAGCTCCTCACCATGATGTACGTATACATTTACGAAGCAATGCAGCTTAAGTAGTGAGAAGATCCAGATACTCTGGGACACTAGCAGCGCCGGACTCAGAGATTAGGAGATGCTTTCCATCTCATCCTACATCTACCAGTTACCCAAACAATACCCCAAAGCTAGCGTCCTACCCGCCAAACTACAAATCCTGAAGGCCGCGGTGTAGCTTACGCGGCAATCTGAGCTGACGGTTCCTCGCTGGTACACTTCCTCATGGTATCAAGCCAACATATCCGCTCCCTACGCTGATCGCAGAAGCCACTACAAACATTCCACCGAAGACGCAGCTTACACAACACTCGACTCCCTGCGCAAGCTTCAGACGGAAGCATAGTCTACGCCAATAACGCGTCTTACTTCTCGTACAACGCCTTCGTACATCCACCCTAGCCTGCCACCCTGCGTACTCAAATGTTGAGGTCAGCACGGGCTGGAATAGACGCGGTGGTAGTAGTAGAGTAGTAGTACAGTACTGGTAGTAGTATCAGAGATGTACTGCTGCTACTACCAGTACTGTACTACTACTGTACTACTACCACCACTGCGTCTATTCCATCTCCCTCCTCCCTATCCCATCCCTCTCACATCCCTACATCCACAAACACAACTTCCCACTCGCCGTCCCCGCCGCCACCCAATCCAACGTCGGATGAAACTTGGCCACCGCCGGCACAGCCGTAATGCCCTCGCCCCCCAGCTGCGCCAATTGCTGGCCTTTTGCGGTGTAGATATCGACGAAGCGGTTCATGTTGCCGATGCAGAAGCGTTGGACGTTGTCTTGGGGGTTTTGCTGCCATTGTGCTCGGAGGCTGTGGGGTTCGTTAGTGGGATGTTTGAATGGGGAGGGAGGGGGGAGGGGAAGGTAGGGAAGGGTATGAGGAATAAGGGGACAAACATAGTAACCCAGCGGCCTGTTTGGTTGTTATGCGGCACCACAGCCGTCGGTTCCATAGCCTCTTCTTCCACCGTCGTACCGACTTTCCACTCCGCACAGTTTCCAAAGTCATGTATTTTAATTGTATCGTCGTACGACGCAGTTGCTACCTGCCCCGCACTATTCCACGCAGCATGCGATACGGACAGTTTACTCGTGTGTTCTCCAACTAGCGCGGGGGCCCTGCTTTCTCCTTTACCGGTAGTTTTGCGTAGGTCCCAGATCTTCAATGTGCGGTCAAGGGAGGCAGTGGCGACGAGATGTGGATGTAGCGGATGTAAAGTAAACCCTCCAATTTTCTTATCGCTCAGCTGGAAGATTTGCAGTCCCGCTGCTTTCTCGCTCGGAGCGCGCATGTCGTAGATGCCGAATTGGCCGTCGAGCGTGGAGAAATACAGGGTGTGAGGATCGTCTTTGCTGATTTCCAGACCGGAAAGGGGTGCTTCTTCGTCTTTGTCACGAGGGGCGTAGACTTCGACTGCGACGCCCTTTGCCAGATCGAGTTTCCTGACCGATGAGTCGTAGGATGCCGTGTATAGCGCGTTTGCATCATGAGGACTGAATTGGAAAGTGTGTATCGTGCGTGTGTGCGGTTTGAGCGTCGTGATAGTCGGTCCCTCCCTATCCGCGTCTTCGTCGTCTTCGACTTTGACTTCTGCCACTTTCTGCGATGCATCACAGATGCCCAGGTTCCCCAGCTTGTCACCAGCAAACACCAATGGCTTGTCGGTTGTGGGGTGGAGGCCCATGGAGTATATGCGCTCGGGTGTGATCTTGATTTCGTTCGGCTCGAAATCTTCCCAGAGGGCTAGGCCGCTCATGCGCTCTCGTAGGGCACGTAATTCCTTGTCGGTGGTCTCCTTCACGTCGTTGTAGTCAAATGTGCGTGCGTACGGATCTGCTGGGCCGACAGAGAGGAAGTTCCCACTCCGATTCCAGTCCTTGCCTGCTACGACTATGTCACTGAAGTTGAAGGCATCACTAACGCGTTGTCGCTTTGCGCGATCAGCTGCTTGTATCGCGACGTATTCATTCTCGGCTTTGCGCTTTGCGACCTCGCTGTCTGCCACAATGCCCTTTAAGCGGGAGGAAGTTCTACGTGGCGCTTCTTCTTCTTGCTTGATCTTCTTAGGCGCGGGCTTCTTGACTTTCGGTCTTGATGGCACAGAGGTCTTCGCCTTGCCTGTGGGACCCAGACCGGCTTCTGCAGCCTCCATCTCGAGGTTGCGCAATAGCGCCTGCGTCTTTGCAATGTTCTCCTGCCGTTTCCGCTCATACTCGCTGACTTCGACATTTTTGCCGCGCGCCATGTTGGAAAGCAGGTCCAATCCCTAACTGTATACGGAGAGGGGTCTCGAATCGGGGTCGTGGCGGGGACGTGTAGGCTGCGATGCGCGTGCGGTCGTGGTGGGTTGGAGATCGCGTTTCGATTCGTTCAGATGTCGCCTCTGAGATTTGCGGGGTATCCGATGGGTTCCTGAAGATCGGATGGCAATTGTCTGCTGGATGCCAGGGGAATTGTGGACTACAGGCAGGCAGATGCTGGATCGCAGAAGTGTTGCCACTAGCGCGAACGCGTTCGACGCGTCGGTCACGTGGCGACGTGATTGACAAGATCTGGAACTGCAGTCGTATGCGGATCTTCAGCCTCCTGCACGATTTGGAATGGTGTCTAAGGGCCACGTGGTAAGATTATTTCGCCTCCAAGATCGATATGCAGACGTTGAGATCGATTGTCAAATTCAACGTCGAAATTGATCGACAGCTCTACGACGTCACAGGGTTAGTGTGAGATCTGATCGATTGCGGTCTTGGCAGATTTGCGGAGAAAGCAGCAAATGTCCGCATCGGCTGATCTCTACATCTTCAATTGCATCCACCATGCCACCATCACGACTAGCCAACTCGCTACTCGGGAGTGTCCGAGCAGCCTCACTTCGCCCGGCAGCCGCTTTACGACAACGATGCCGGTATCATTCGTATGACTACGCGCAGCCGCCGCCATTTCCTCCCGCCGAGTCCGCCATACTCTCCTCCGCATACGCACACGTACCCAGCCATGGGTTTACTATGGACGCACTGAAGCTTGGTGCTCGCGACGCCGGTTATCTTGATGTCTCTACGAATCTGCTTCCGCGGGGTGTCTTCGATTTGATCAATTACCATCTTGTAACGCAGCGCTTGGCGCTACAGAACAATGTTCAATTCCCAGACCAGGGAGAGCAAGGGAAGAAGATGGGCGTTGGCGCAAAAGTCAGGACGTTGACACTGGCGCGGTTGCGGGCGAATGAACCCGTCATACATCGATGGCAGGAGGTAGGACAGTGCATACACAACAGCAGAGGTCAGCGTGCTGATGGGTGATAGGCACTCGCGATCATGGCCCAGCCCACGTACGTTCCGGCATCTATCGCCGAACTTGCAAGACTCGCAGACGAGATATGGTTTCTGTCGGGAGACCAGAGTGTCGATAGCAGCTGGTACACCAAGCGAGCGACACTCTCGGCCATCTTCTCCTCGACCGAGTTATACATGACACAGGACAAGTCGGCCAACTTTGTAGAGACGGAGCAGTTTCTGGATAACAGATTACAAGACCTAATGAAGGTTGGCGGCTTCATGGGAGGACTGGGCGAGTGGCTCAACTATACGGGCCATTCTGCCGTCAATGTGCTGAGGAGTAAGGGTGCGCGCATCTAAGTTCGTCTGTCCATCGGAGGATGTTGACTGTTTCATGGCATGTTAAGCCGAGGCCATGATGTATTCTGTGTTTCTACTTTTTCCGCTACACTAGCGAAGACGTCACGGCACATACGATCTCGATGAGATGTTGAGTGTGACATTTCCAGTATGAAACCCCTTCAGGTTTTTGAGTGTCTAAACATCATCGTACGATTTAGACGAGCCTAACTCCAGCATCGCCGATGGTGTTGTGCATCCTAACGAGTTACGAAACAATATTGGTTGCGATTCGGTGATTAGACCGGGGCGACCTCCCGGCGCGCTCTGCCCTGCATGGTTGTAACGAGTAATCTGCGATCCGAGCTCAATCGGTGATCTGAAGTTGAAAGTGGCATCACCCCACCGTGAGAGTGAAAAATGTTGGAGATGGTCAGCGGTCGTCCCAGGTCAAAGCCCCTGAGGATCCAGGCGTAATAAGACCCTTTTCGTATGCTTGTCGGAGGGAGTCAGCTGCATGCCTGCCGTGAGATGCATTAACGAGTGTTCCAGCTGGACCCTTTATTGCGATGGCCCTCTCGATTGCGATGCTGGCAGCGATGAGGGCGGCACAGTGGGAGTCAGTCGCCCGCCAATCATGATGGCAGGGTGTCTGAGCCGAACAACCAAGGACAGATCAGGGTCCAGGAAATCGATTGCGCTTCCCAGCCGTTGCCAGCACCGTGCAAGAGTGACCTCATCTAGGGAGGGGACACGGGGAGTGTGCGTCAGGAGAGGGCCGGCTAGCATTTGCAATCTCGATGGATGCTGTGGCCGTGTGTGAGAGCGCGTGTGGCTGGTGAGGCTCTAGCGGCAGCGTGTCAACGGTTCGTGCCGCCACGGTTCTGCTGTGATGGGAAGCCATGGTGTGAAGAGGGTCTGGACCATCTCTATGCCGTGCAGCACTGGCAGCAACTGTCAGACGCGGATCTAGACGGTGGCAAGTGTAGATGTGTGCGGGCGATTGCATGTTGTTCGCAGTGCGGCAGTGCTGCTAGAAGGTTGTGTTCTCCGGAGAAGCATAGGAGAGGACGGCCATCACAGATATGGAGAGCCATCGAGACGGCAGGGTCAACGGGCGGAACAGAAGGGCGATGGTCTCCCTCCTGGGCGATGGTGGGCTGGAGATCAAGGCCCATCGTCGATTGCCGGTAGTTCTTGCGCTAGGCCCGAACGCCACACTTCCTCTTCGCGGCCAGGTACCCTCGATCTCCAGCTGCAGTCTTGGCAGCTTGGAAATCGAGAGCATCGACATGCTTACCCACATCAAGATCGATGCCCATCATGGCTCACCTGCACAAACCAGCGCCGAGAGAGCCCACAACTCTCTTCAGCCATCTTTCAATTTGCACGCTGAAACTGCCCTCGCACCATACGACGACGCCGCTACCAGCACCCTACATACCATTCGAACCACCGCCGCGGAAGCGTCTGATCCATTCGAGCCTGGGCACAACAGCCTCCCGGTCTACAATATACGCACACCTTGGACATTTGATCGCTAGCGGCCTGACATTCACCATCATCCACATGGGGAGCATCCTGCCTGTCTAGCCCCCAACTCTCACCCGCCTCTCTCCACCCGCCATGAACGACCGCCCGGGAACCATTCCCATGGCTGCGCGTTCCCACCCACGCCGCCCGCCAGCCCACCGCTCCGTCTCTCTCCGCCACAGCCCGCCGCCTAAACCTCAACCATCAAGACGCGAGCCCAAGAAGGCGCCGACTGCTGAGACGTCGCCCACCCTCGCCAGCGACAAGGCCAATCCGCCCTCGAGCGTGTCTCCCCAGCTGCTCTCCAACAAGACCAGCTCGGGCGAGAGCAGCGACGCCGGCCAATGGTTCGAAAAGACCAACAACACGGCCAGCCAGGGCAAGTCGGCCTTCGTCGACAGTGAGTGCCTCCGACAGAGTAGATGAGAAAGTGTGACTGACTATTAAGATGAACCGCCCTTCTTCCTCCGCAACTCGTCTTCGTCCGAGACGCCGCCCGACACCACCCAGGCACAGGTCGCCATGCCCTACCGCCCCCTCGGCCAGATTGGCACCGACGGCAGCAGCACCGAAGACTTCCGCAGCGTCATCGACGACCTGACCGTCGCCAACAAGAAGCTCAAGCAGCGGCTGCGGAAGTACGAGAAGCTCTACGATGCCCACCTGCAAGAAGAGAAGCTGTTCGAGGTGAGGTTCCATGGCCTGCCCGACCACAAGAAGAAAGAACTCGAGGAGACTCTGCGCAAGTTTGCATCAGATCTCGACGAAGGCACCGCCAACGACTACGCCGACATCTCAGCCTACACCCCGGCACTCCAAACCCACAACACCGCCTCCTCCACATCGCGCTTCGCCGAGTCGGGCTACGCTTCCCTATCTGCATCCGGCCCTAACTCGTCAGGCCAATCCAATCAAGACAACGACCACCGCAAGATGACCAAATCCGCCTACAGCCGGCAACAGCAAAACATCCAGTCGTACCTCCACGACATCCCCATGGGCCTGCTACCCAACAACAAGACCGCCCCCATGACCGACAAGTCCAAGAAGAAGATGGTTGTGCGCCGCCTGGAGCAGATCTTTGCTGGCAAGCGCTCTGCGCCCGGGTCCCACCCACACCCAATGCAGCAACAGGAAGTAGCCCAGTCGGCAGCAACAGCCGACCGTGCCCAGCGAGAAGCGACGGGACAAAATCAGAAGCCCGAGGGTCAGCGTGAAGCTCGCATCAGGAACGACCGCGGTGCTAGTGCTGCTCGGGAAAGTCATGCGGACCAGGACGAAGTCCTACAGGGCTTCCGCCCCAGCCTGCATATCGAGGAACAGGACTTCGCTGGCTCAGGTCTATCTCCCGACCAACGACCCACACGACCGCTAGACCTGGACCCTTACCGTGCGCAGGTGCCTACAGAGAACATGGACTACATCCGCCATCTTGGCTTCACCCCACCGGACATGGACTCTGGAGAAGCACCCCTCGGCCACGGCTGGATTTACCTAAACTTGGTCATCAACATGGCCCAACTACACACTCTAAACGTCACACCCGAGTTCGTCAAGGACGCCTTGCACGAGTACAGCAACCATCTCGAGATCTCTCGCGACGGTCGCAAAATCCGATGGAAGGGCGGCCTCGACATTACCAAGCACAGCGGCGACAGCTCGTCGGAGCATTGGAGTGGTGCTTCACCGAATGAGTCCGGCTCCCAGTCGCCTTTCAAGGGTATGAAGACTGGCAACAGCGGTGCCAGCAGCGACATGATGGATGAAGCCACGATTGCCAGAAGGCAAGCTCGTGCCCAGCGTGAGAAGGAGCAAAACAAGTTTGCGTACAAACCCATGTTCTTCCACAAGGATGAGTCGGAGAACGAAGACGAGTTTTACGCCTTCGACGCCGAATCCTCAGCCAACTACTCTTACCAACCCCAGCCCACGGGCAACTCCTCGGGTTTCAGCAGTTCCATCATGCAGAGCTCCTCATCAAAACCTCGCAGGCGCGATGACGGGCCCATGATCTTCTACACCAAGGCCAAGTTCTGCACTGACCTGAGCGGTGATCGTAACGGCGCCTTCCTTACCATGCCCGGCAATTATCAGCCAATTACGAACCAGCCGCTTGGTGCCAAACAGGGCACGTCATCCCCGACCAAGAGGACGTCGTTGGACCTGGCCGAGCCCCGAGGTCCTTTGGACACTACGCCGATGGATGTCGACAGCGGATCACGCACTGTCTCGAGTGGAGATGACCTTGGCTTCTCGCCCGAGGCCTTGAGGAACGACAGCGGTAATACCAGCCCAGAACTCATGGACTTTGAGGCTTCGGGTCTGGGCGGTGTACAGCCAGAGGACAATTTCTCCATCCACGTACGACGATCACAAGTACCCACCGCGCCATCCCATGTCGCCGCTCGCCGCTGGTCGACCTTGTACCCCAAGGCCATCCAGGATGCACTCAACAGGCAGTCGTCTCCCGAAGTCGAGTCTCCTAGATCAAGTCCTCAGCGTGTGATTGAGGAGAGGATTCTCTCTGCGTCACGGAAAAACCTTCCTAGCTCGACTCTTCCTCCCGCCTCCTTCCTTCCATTGGATTCTTGCTCTTCCGGCGATGTCGACTCGGACCTTGCATCCGACGCCTCATCCGAACCCGACAGCGACAGCGACTCTGGCGGCCCTACAACGGCCATGCAGATCCTCAACATCGCGCCCATCGCCTCCGACGTCTCTGAAGGATCCGAGTCCGATTACGAAGACAGCGACGACGGCAGCGTCGACATGCTCGCTACAGCCCGCCAACAAGACCCCAGCGCTGTCCGTGCCAGCGAGCGCGAATACGACGCTGCTCTCGCCGATCGTCTCGCCGAAGAGATTCCCGCAGGAAGTTCGGCTGCAACCGCTGGAGGCGGAAGTGGGTTCAACAGCCCCGCCGGTGGTGTTCGCATTCGCGAGGCTGCCAAGTTGGCTAAGCGTGCTAGCCAGGCTAGCAGTGGAAGCAGCAGGGCTGGTCCACCGGCGAATCTCAAACGCGCCCGCACGAGCGATTCTTTCAACCCGCCTCCGAAGAAGAGTCCCAAGACGCGAATGACGGGGGAGTGATGGATGATGTCTTTTCAATTCCAGTAAATTATATAGTGAGCGTTCACGTTCGGATGATCCACGAGGCGTTTTGGATCTTTTTCCTCTCTTTATGGATGGATGGGCGGCAAGGGACTTTTTCACATGGATGATTTGAAGCCATTTTGATACCCCCCTTTTTGCGATATCGTTGATTGGTTATTTGAGTACCACACATACTGAATGGTAGTACATAGCAATCCATGAAAGTATCAACTGCCAGCTTTGTTCGACCAGACATGTGATGGGCATCGTGATATGACTACATATCTTTCTATGGAAGTTGCAGAACAAAGACTGATTTCATTTCCACATCTCTTAACTACCCGAACGAAAGCCTGGATAGTACACATTACATGCTGCCACCATACCCCCCTCCATCCTAAGCCATGCACTTCGCCCCTAAAACCTACTCACATCCCTCCCAAAAACCCAATTAACCACCCAATAAACCGGCACTAAGACCTTATTCCGCCAACTCACCGTCCTTGTCAAATACGCTCCCCGCCAAATAATCCACGCCACATAGCCCTGTAGTCTGCCACCCCATTTCCCGCCTCCCTGGAACAACGCATTCCAGTTCCCGATGTAAGCTAGTGTTCCGAGGTCGCGGTATGTGAAGCCTTTGGAGGGGGAGGAGGGGGATGGTGGAGTGGACAAGGAACCGTCGTTGAGGCGTTTTGCCAACCAGAAAGCTTTTTGAGAGGCGACTTGGGCGGTTGCTGGGTAGGTTGTTGATTCGATTATTCCGCAGTCGCCGAGGGCGAAGACGGAGGGGTGGACTGCTTCTTGTGCGGAGGATTGCGCTGTTTCCGAGGTGCTGGCTGGGGTGGAGGGGATGAGTTTGACGCGGAGGTGGTCGTCTGTTATGATGGAGCCGGATTTAGAGTCTTTCTTTACTATCCATTTTACGTCTTTGCCTGGAGTGGTGGGTTGGGTAGATGGTGGAGAGGAAGAGGAGGAGCTTGATGGGAGGTAGAGGTCGGTTGGCGCTTCGCGGACGGAAGAGAGGGCGTGGTCGACAAAGGGGTTTTGCATTAGTCCTGTGCCTGGGGTGTGGGGTTAGTGTCGTTCTCGAGTGCGTCTGAATGGAGAGTGGGTGATGTGAGAAGAAGGAAAGAGAAGGGATACTTACTCCATACACACATGCCCACGCCAATCTCGCCCTCCTCTTTCACCTTGAGCGTATACAGATGATAGTCATCCACATCATCCGAAAAGCTCCTTTCCGCCGGCGCCCCCGGCCTCAACTCTTCGACATGGTGACTTGTTTTTATATCGATTCCCTTGCGTTTGAACTTCTGCATCGCGTACCCCGCAAGTTTCTGGTCGAACATCGGAAGTACCTTCTCCGCGACATCGTAAACAGTAATCTTGTGGTACTGAACGAGTTCGGGGTACAGTTTCTTCATATCCTCGTTGATCAGGTCGTGCAACTCCGCGCTGAATTCGATGCCAGTGGGTCCACCGCCCACAACAGCGAAGTTGAGGAGCTGCTTCTTCATTTCGATGGAGGTGGTGGGCAGCGCGGCGCCTTCAAAGCATGCTAAGATGCGATTCCGGATCCTGCGCGCATCGCCTACGTCTTTGAGAAAGAAGGCGTGTTCTTTCACACCCGGCGTGCCGAATGTCTGACTATAACACCCCACCGTCACAATCAACTTGTCGTACTCGACATCAAAAAGCTTCCCTACTTTCGCTTCCTTCTTCTTCTCCGCCTCCCTCTCTTCCGCTGTCTCTCCAGCATGTCGATCCGTAGTCAGCGCAACACCTTGTTTCGGATCGTCAACCGCCTCTTCAATCGTAATCGTCCTGTTCTTGAAATCGACATCGTCGGCCCATCCCTGGAAGAAATCCACTTTCGTTCGCCGGCTGCGCACGGGTTCGAGCGCGGTCCTGAATTCCAAGGTACCGACTGCGGTGGAGGCAAGGAGAGGTGTGAAAGCAAAGTAGGATCGTGGCGATACGACGAGCGTTTGGAATTTAGAGGAGTCGAGACTGCGGGCGACTGTAAAGCCCGCCCAGCCGGATCCTAGGATGACTACGCGCTCGCGGTCTGGGATGGGGTTGTTAGTAGCTGGGGTCTTGTACCAGAGGTGAGCTCAGCAAGGAGAACAACGTACTATCTCTCCTCTTATCCAATTGCTCAATCGTAATCATCCTCTTTTGTTCCAAGCTCTTCCCATACTTTGCGCTTATCAAGGCTCCTGTTCGACATAGCGATGCCGTGCGCGATCTCATCGTAGGCGCAGACACCAGTTCCCTAACACCACCCGGTAACAGCGACATTCGAGTCGGCGACAGCATCTTTCAGTCTTGATTGCCAAATTTCCATTCGCGATTCCTGGATATTGAACGAAAACAGTGTTTACCAAAACCAAAGTTTTATTTATCGACACCCACCCACTCGCCGGGTGCTTGCGGGTCGACCAACGGAAGTCGGCGTTGACGCCATGACGTATGGCTTTTGCAAGCTTGACGCGCCGAATGTTGCCGAGGAAGGTTCCCACATGTGATTGTAGACTAGGGGTTTGAAAGCGCGAAGCTCAAACAACTTGTTCGATTGAACAGAATGCGACAAAGTGGCAGGTGGTGTGGTCAAGTTGAGCGCAGGGTTGATAGGCGTGGTCAGCACCGACGAGAAGGGCCGTGAGATCGCGTTAGTCCTACGATGCTATCAACATGGTTTAAAACTGTGATCTCGCCAACTAGCATTGTGTGCAGTGTTGATGATGGGTTGGTGTAACCAACTAATTTGATAGACGATGTTGGCATCTTCGGACTGGTGACAAATGTGATGACGGGTGGCACGTAGATGATGAGACCATCTCAAAAGTCACATTGGGGTGGTCATTAATTTCAGAACAAAAGACGCCTTTGGCCACGTACAAGATACTTGCATAACACGCCTTCCTTTCAAAAACGACTCTTGTGCTATACATCTCATATTCACACAAGCAGCAAGTAACCTAGTATCCCGGCGAAGCGATATCTGCAATAGCAATACGCGTGGGTATCCCATAACCTGCCGATTCCCAACCAGTCCATATACTCCAGGAAAGAAAAACGCCCATAGCTGACCTCTCCCAAAACATCACTCACTTCTTCCCATTCCCACCCCCCAAGTACCCCACCACATCCCCCGCCCTCTCCAACCTCGCCCTCGTCTCTGGCAACCCCTTGTTCAACCTCTGCAATCCCGTCACCGCCCTCTCCCAATTCCTCTCTACCTCCTCTTGTCTCTGCAGTGCCTCCACCCCAGCCACATCCCCATCCCCATTCCCAGCAGCAGCAGCATTCTCCGCCATACTCTCCTGCAGCGCCGCCCACACCCTCTCCTCCTCTTCAAACCCCTTAATCCACGTCTCCGCCGCAACTTTCGGCGTTGTCCTCCGTTGCTGACTGATTTTCGCAATGAGCGCATCGCGTTTCGCTACTGTAGCAGATAACTGACTCCGCAGTTTATCGTCGAAAGGTTCGTATTCGACTGTTTCCACCATGGACTCCCCTTCTCCTCCTCCACCACCACCTCCTCCTCCCCCATGTCCATTCACAGCCCCATCCATCCCCTCCCCATCCCCACTCTCCACAACATCAATCCCATTGATGCTAACATTCTGCCTTATCCCCTGCAGTACTTTCGCAACAAATATCTCAACGAGGTCTTCAACCGAGCGCCGCAGTTCGTCTGGCGCATCGCCGTTTGTAGCGCTGGAGGGCACGGGAGGGAGGTGCAAGTCGAGTTTCTGGCGCGCGGCGGTGCGGATTTGCGATGTGAGGAAGGTGAGGTCCGAGGGGGATTGGAGTTCGATTTTGCGGTGGGAGGTGTCCATTTTGCGGTGGTATGGCAGGCGTGGTAATATGTGAGGGCTGTTGTTGCGCGGGCGCGCTGTGGTGGGGGGTTGTGGGTCGGGTGTGCTCTTGTAGTTAGATGAACGGTCTGCGCAGAGGTGTTGTTGTAACTGTTCTGGGTAGTAGCAGTGTGTTGAGTCGTGGAATGCGGGTCGTCGTTGTGGTGGTCGACTTTGTTATGGTTCTCGTTTGCGAACGCGGAACGTGGACCGCGCGCGTCTTCGTCGGCTTATCAGCCTGCCTTATCGGGGCCGAGGTGTGGGGCTGCCTGCATCCCTAGAAGCTGCGATGAGCACTCGAACAACGCAGTCGATACAGTCGGATGTAGGATAATGTATCGTTAACTGTGAATTGTTTGATTTGAGATACATCCTTATGGATAATCCCTAAACCCCAAGAGCAGTGAGTAACCGCATCCCGCAACGCCGTAACCCATCCAGTCCATTCTCATGATATACAGCCCTCAACCCAAACGCCCATGATTCCATACCAAACGCCTATCCCAACCCATATAAACATAACCTCAATACCGCGTAATCCATAAAATGCCAAAGCATATGCACATCCATTAACCAAGAACCCGGCGCTTGTATCATGCCCACGCATCTCTCCACATGTACTCCGCACCACCCAGCCAATCTTCTATGACGGGAACATATTCCTAACCTCCTCATCCGTAACAATAATATCCTTCACAGGATCCTGTCGTCGCTCAAGATCATCGAAGTGGTAGTCGACGTAGGAAGGGAGGAACATCTCTGTCGCACACACCGTCATTAGCCCAAATCCACATACCCATAACCATATAACCCATCGTCCAGCCCCGCCACCAAACCCTCTACATTCTACCGCTAAAAGAAGACGAGAGAAGAGGGAGAACAACATACCCATATTCCAATCAAACCCCTGACTAGCCTTGACACACGTAATCAGCCTCAGCGCACCCTCCCCCTCCTCCTCTCCCACATTAATAACAGTATGTTCCTGCCGCGAAAACGTTTCGCTCATCAGGCTCTCCCGGCGCCGCATACTGCTTGTGCCGCTCTGCGGGCTACTAGACGACGAAGAGGGTGTGGAGCCATAACTACCACTACCGCCCGCACTACCATACGAGAAGCGGTTCGAAGATGGCGTGAAGTTGTAGTTGTAGTTGTAGGTATTCGGTGTCGAAGGCGTGGACGCCGCGAACGAGGATGACGAGGAGGAGGAGTGGTGGTGGTGGTGGTGAGAAGAAGACGCAGGGCCCTTGCCCTTACGCTTTGGTATCGCGATGGCGGTTGAGGATGACGACATGGTGGGATAGATCGCTGGAGAGCTGGGTAGATAGATGTAGCGGTAGATAGGTAATGGAGATAAGGACCAAGGACCAAGAAGACCAGACCAGCAGAACAGCCGTTATAAATCAAACATGCAATTCCCCGAAAGACCAGAGAACAAGAAGAAGAGAGGAAGAACAACGACAACGAGGAGTAACAGTCATACGCCTCGGACATGCCAACCCCAACCCGTCCGCGGTATAGCCCGCACCGCCGCCCAGTCCAAGTCCGCATCGCGTCTGCCTGACTCCTCCCTCCAACCCTAACCTCGCAGCTCCACCGCAGACCCCGGACTCTTAGCCGATCTCCAGGCGCGGACGTAAGGTGTGTAGCGCTGTGATTGGCTGGCTGCCTACATTAATGGATTCCGCTCACGCCTCGCTGTATCGGCGTGGGGCACGTGTGACAGGCACCCACTCCGCACCTGGCCTGGCACCCACGCACCTTGGTGTCTTGCTTGCGTCTTGCGTCTTGCGTGTGCATGAGGCGGCCACGGGTGTGTTGCGTGGGTGCATGGAGCATGATGCATGCATTAGGTACTTAGGTACTGTAGAGGAAGTGTAGGGGAAGTGTAGCTGTTATCTATCTGCTTATCTATCTTGATGGATGAGGGTATGGAGTATTGAAGCCGACAACATCCGGTGCATTTTCCGCTGGAGAGATTGACTGCATTCATCATTCTGGCTATCATCGGATTGCACATGCCAGAGCCGCGATTGCGATTGCGAATATGTGGGGGAGAATCAGGTCATCCGGGTACAGTGGGCGAGACAGGTGACGTAGCGACGAGGGAGGCGTTATCGCCCTGTCGGTCCGTACCTGACGTGCGCATCGAAAACAACGCATGCATATCCATGCACTCACCACTGAGCTGTTCATCAAGGTGGATAGTCTTGTCAACATCACTTCGCGTACATCACGTACATCACATACACGAAAACCACACATGTAGAAGTATCAAAATGACGAGCTACAAACGCTCAATTCCATTGGAAGGGACAAGCATAAACCACACAACCAGCCCACTCTGCATCAGTCGGCAACCGCGCAGATTGCTTCCAAAAACACCCTCGCATATACTCGCATACGCGTTTCCTATATATCGTACAAAACCAACTGTGGATATCGCTCGTGTGTTTCGCTCGCAAGAAGGACTCTGTAAAAAACTGCCAATCAAAACAGCAGCGAGGTAGGAACTTCGGATACCTGCCGATGAACTCGTAATTAGTAGCGAGAGACTTTGAAAAGGTTAAAAAAGCAAAAGCACATGAACAACAAAAAGGACTGGCATAACCTCCATAATAAACAGAGCGCGCTAGAAACCAAAAACAAAACAAAACCATCGCAGCAGAACAACCACCAAAAAGGAAGTAAACTGCGAAAAAACGGAATCAGACATGTCCACCGTGATCCTCAGCAGCAGCCCAAACCAGTCCTTTCACCGGGGGTGGGGGGTATCCTCGAAAATATAGGAGATGCGCCCAATATACGCCTGTACTCCGGGCTGATGACTAGATGATTCGTAGAGACGGGTTTTTATGTTCCGCGTTGTTGTTGGGTAGTAGTAATAGAAAGGAATCGGGAAATGAGTGTAGGTAGATGGTGTCGGGGCGTCAAACAGCAGGAAAGACGTAGTAATAATCGGGGGTATCGTATCTTTTTCGTGACGTTGTGTACGCAATGTCGCGCGCAGGGAGGAGACGAATCTACCATCCCTTCTTACGTGCAAATCGCTTGTTGAGGAGGACCAGGACCTTGGTCACGTTGAACTGGACATATTCGAGGTCCAGATCTTCTTGGTTGTCCTTTTGCATCTCCAGTAGATCGTCGAGCTTGAGGTCGAGCTCGAGAAGACCGCGATTCCGCCCTTTGTAGTGGAGCGAGATGACAAAGGTGCCGGGTAGCGGGCTTGTGAAGTTGAAGTAAATGTTGGCTCTCCTATTCTCCGGGACATTGCTCTTCTGGATCACGCCTTCTCGCTCGAGCTGCTGGTGGGTGAATTTGTAGGGTCCGAGGACTTGGTGTTTTTGCTGTTTCCTTGTCTTGCCTTCAGATTGACTTCGGACGTTGTGGAGGTACGACTTGTACGTGTCAAGCTGGCTGACCAGGAAGCCATTGTGATCGCGGATGGTGCGGAACACTTCCTCGAGCTTCCGTGTCTCTTCGATGACCTTTTCCTTCATGGAGCCCAAGTGCACCAGCTCTTGTTCGACTTCGTCGCGGAGTAACGAGAAGCCGTCTTCCTTGTCAATCACGCCAAGATCCTGCAGTTGGCTGAGCAGCTCCATGCTACGGATACCCTTCTTGACCATGACAGAGTCGTTCTTGGTCGTGGCAGCTGCTTCCGCAATCCTGTCGAGGCGCAATGGCCGTCGCGTGATGGAAGTGTTGGAAGGAAGCGAACGAAGGATCATGACGAATGTCGACTTGGCTTCCATGAAGAAGATCTCTTCCTGCGTAATGTCGAGCGCTGCGGTCAGATCGTCAAGCGGCGTTTCCCATTTGCTGAATAGCGGGAGATTGATGGCTCTGTTCTCTTTTCGGGGAAGCTGTGCTGGAGCGGAGCCGAGCTCGTTGAGAATGACGCCTAGATGCGAACTGTCTTCTTTGGCCTGGTTTTGTTAGTACGGCAACGCGCATGGATGTGTGATTGCTTACCAGTTCAGCTGCATGTCGCTCCAAGAGCGAGTGCGTCGCATACACTTCGTTCAACGTGATGGACAGCTCTAGATCCTTCTTAGACAGAGCAACGTAGTTGTCCATCTCGAGAGTATCGTAAAAGTCCTGTACCTCGCACAGGTCCAACAAGAACTTATTGATTCGCTCCTTGTTCTGGTGGATGAATGGCTGCAGCTTGACCATGTAGGGCTCCTTGGCATACGATGGCTTGTTTGCGAGATTCTGCAGCATCTTGGCGATATACGTTAGTGTCCGCTTGGGGTTCTCTGCTGGCAGCACATCGATGAGCATGTACGATCTTGGGGTGACGATGGCGGGGTTGATGAAGCGCAGGAAGAAGAAGCCTCCGATGAGAGTGCAAATGGTCTGGTCCTGGGCATCAGGGTACTTTCGTCTCGACAGACTTCGAATCTGCTTGCATATCTATCGGATGCCGTATGGCGTCTCCTCGAGGCCTTTGATGATGGTTGTGAGGAAGTTGTTGGCAATCTCCATGAGCATGTTGACTCGCGGTGTGATGATGTTCTGTACCGTCTCGTTCTCGGCAGCCTGCTCTGCGGTAACGCCCTTGGGCAGGTTCGCGGGAAGAGTTCCTTGGATCTCAAGCTCAGTGACCATCTTCTCGTATACCTTGAGCGGGTTAATCTCAAGATCGAGGTCCTTCAGCTCAATGAGCGAGTTGATGCTGTCCTGCAAGACGACCTTGAGGTAGCTCTGACCGGGTCCTCGGCGGGTGTATGTGGTCATCATGCGCGAGACGGGTGTGTTGGCACGCAGGAGCGAGCTGTAGTCTGGGGTGTTGTCGAATTGATACGTGAGTACAGACTGAGCGAGGTTAGCTGTGATGCGCAAAGCTGGAGGCGCAACCTACCTGGAACATGGTCAAGAGCAAGTGCTCTTCGCGGCTCTCATACTGGTTTCCGTAGATTGTGAACATGACAGTCTGCAGTAGGGCATCAATCTCGGCCATGGAGACGAGTCGACACAGATGGGCAATATGGCGTGGCTCGGATTGGAGGAGGAAGAGCAGGTTGCCGTACTTCTGCGTCTTCTCGTCGTTGGGAAAGAAGCCTTCCTGGAGTTCGAGGCCGTCTCCCAGGTGGTCGGCGACTTCATTCTGCTGCAGGAGAGTCAGTACAGGCGCGGGGCGTGTGCAGCGTTGAGCGCACCTCTTCCAATGCCATGCGGTTCTGGATCAGCAGGGCTATCCGCGAGTCGAGATAGCGCACATCCTTTTCCAGGACGAAGTTCTTCTTGGACTGCGACGAGATCTTGGCCTTGAGTTCGCGGAGTATCTTCTGGGCTGCGAGGGTTAGTTTATTGTAGTATATTGCGAATGAATGGCGGCGTACCTCGGGCCAGGTCATCTTCAATCTCGAGCTCCTTGTCTTTGGCGGACATGGACAGGTACAGGGCTGTGACGGAGTAGCGCTTCGACTGGCGCACCGAGCGCGAGCCATCGTGCGACGACATTGTGTTCTGGCGCGAGACGGGGACAAACGACGACGAGGACGACGTCGAGGCGCGCGAGGGAGCATGCAGCATAGAGACGGCCATGGCGGGTCGGGGGTGTCGCGGCGAGGGCGACGGGCAGGGCGGAGACGGAGACTTTGTTTCTTTGTGTGCGCGGTCGCGGTCGGGCGGGTTGGGTCAATCAGCGACGGCGACGGGGATTGCAGCGACTACGACGGGGGAATTGCAGCGGGAGGGCCCGTCCAGCGAGAGGTCGACGGGTGGTGCAGCGTGCAGCGCAGGGCCGTGGTGTGCAGGCAGCGTGGGTGTTGGTTGGATTAATCTAGGGGGTGCCTCAGTCACCGGGAGTCGCGACGAGGGCGAGGGGTAGCTCAGACGGTGAGTGGTGGGAGACAATGGGCAGGCTGCGACATTCCAGATGGCGCGACTTCCGCTTCAGATGCAGATGGCAGGAGCGACAGCGACAGTGCAGCGACGGTGACAGCAACGGCGGGGGTGGGGATACTTGGTGCAGGCGGGAGGTGAGAGTCTGAGTACTCCTAGAGGGGAGAGTGAAAGTGTCTACCTGGGAGTAGTATGGAGTGGTCTGAATGGGTGTTTCAGTGTCTTGCAGAGTGGAGAGGGCCAAGCATGTGGAGGCCGCAGGTGGGACGTCAAACGAGGCAGGGGCAAACGGCCACCCACCAGACTCGCGCGCCAGATAGCAAGGCCATGGAGTCGGCATGGGTGCGAAACCGTCGTCAGCTGCTCGCCTGCCCCTGAACGTCCACCTCGACGTGCCTGAAGCAGCAACGTGGTCCGCGCCCAACCGACCAAGCTGGTTCCTGGCTAAGCCCGACTAGCACACGTCAAGCCCGACGCTCTCTACATTGACTTGGAGCCTGCATCTCATCACATGGTCAACATTTGAATATCCCCGACCTTTAGTCCATCCACCCGCGTGAATAACCCGTCGACTTGTGCAGCTACCGGAGGCCTTCGCTGCCGACAGCTTAGCACCTTAGCAACGCCTGTGGCGGCGGGCTGCACGAGATGTGGAGGTGGCCAAAGCACTAACCTGCCTTACTGCCCGCACAAGTGTACTAGGAAAATTGCCCAGCCCAGCATGCAGTCCGCCCGTCGTCGATGGACAAGGGCATGCCATCGCAAAGTCCGACCCGCCGCCATCGACTCCTACTAGACATGATCCTACCAGACATGATTACTCTGCATAGATACTGACCCGTACTGTACATACAACATTGTCCTCCGCGTCGATCAACCCATCACCATCTCATCTCGGTCCGATGATCTCTACCATTTGTCCGCCCGCTGCAGAATAGTTTCGAAACATACGTGGCGCACAGTGCTGCACAACGACGACTATCGCAATGTAATGCTCCAACATCGCTGATAGCCATGTCGTCCTAGCGCCGACCGCGGTGATCAAATACCGCCATACCAATACAATGCGCCACAAGACTTTTGATCGCCGCGGAACAACTGCCCAAACCGTACTTGCACTTGCTTGCACAGTGGTCTATAAATGACTCCGTCACATTCCCGCCGCCTGTCCATCACCTGCAGCATTTCATCACGCCATTGCCCCGCTCCGCGTCGCTTCCTTCAGAACTGGAGATTGAACTGATCCTGCGAGTCCTGGCGACTCATGTCACATGCTTTGGATAGAGTACTTTGGTAGCCGCTACTGGCTGGCGGGAGACAGCATATCCGGGCCTCGTTTACCGTTTACAGTTTACAGTTTACCATTAGATGACCACAAAGCAAAAAGACCCGAAGAAAAATATTGGGGCCAAGGTGAGCGCCAATGGAGCGGAACTCCAATATCTCTAGTGAGCTGCGCTGCATGCACACCTCACACCCTCTTTCCCATGACTATGCGCCGCGCCGTGCCGGACAATAGAGTGAACGCCTGCGAACCATATAGTACAGCACTTTACACACATCCATCTCGTACAGTACGCGACGCCAGAAGAAGACCATGAAAAAAAAACTGCAGTAATAACGAGAAAAAACGGGAAACCGAAAAACCGAAGACTCCACACTTTGCATGCCCATCTCCTCGGTCAGACTCGCTGTGCGGGAAGCATACGGTACCTGGACACCTTGACGCGCCTTGCGCAGCTGCTCCGCTTGCAAATAGGCCCGTGCGCCCGCGAAAACCATGGGCGATCATGGCGCCGTGGCCGCCAAACTCCTCCACCTCGCATGCACGCGCGCCTGCATGTGCCCTTGCGAGTCAAGCGACTATTCAGCCCGCCCGTCAGCGCACCACGGCTGCGAGGAGCACATTCACCCCGAAATAGCTGCTTGCGTTAGCCTCGTCATCTCTCACCAACTGCAGGCAAACCCGCGCGCGCGCGCCTCAGGAACCGGCCAAGGCACCGGATAATGCGTGGGTAAAAAGACGTTTCTGACATGTTTCCGTCCGAAAGCATGTCCTGGAAATTTCCGAACGGGGTGAGAGTTTCTTCGCCCCACGCGCCCGTCTTGCCCGTTTGAGCATGTAGACGTCACGGTGCAGACGTTGCGATATTGCATCGCGGGCGGGAATTTGAGAAAGAGAGAGAGGACTTACACTGAAGCTGCCGCAGCCCACTCACGCGTAGACAGCATATTCCTGAGCTGAGGGGTCGACGTGACCATCTTTAGCTCCGCACCAACGATAAGCACGATAACGAGGAGCCGTCCAAGCAAGCTGGGGACTATCGCAAACGCCATGAGGGGTAGTACCAGCGTTAGTGGAAACCATATTGCTGACTGATCTTGGCCGGCAGCCGGAGCTGCCGTGCTGGGAGGAGAAGAAGAAGATGAGGAGGAAGAAGGAACTTTCCGCGGAAGAGTCACTAGGTCGGCGTCTTCCTCGAGAAATTGGGATTCCTCCTCATTAATCGGGTCATGCTCATCCATCCACTCGCGATAGGCTGTGATATCCTCCGCAGACGCGGGATCGAGACTTTTGGAGAGCTTGCTAAACGAAGATAAAGCCCTGTCTGTACCGAGTCAGCGGAACACTCTTGATCGGTAGCAGCGACGATCCCCATGTTGACATGGCGTTCCGACTCGTTGCTTCCGGCTTAGCCACAACTTACTGTATTGCTCTAGCTTCTGGTAGATGCGCCCCAGGAGTTCGGTCCTCTTGAAGTGCATTTCACTTCCGTAGCGTGCGTCACCCCGCCGCGACGCAGGGTACGCGTACCCTGACGCATCTCGAGGCGACATCTGGGCTATGCATTCGTCTAGGTGACGCAGCTCTTCTTCGAGTTCGCACGTTTCGTCTTGGAGATGTAACAAGACGCGGTGGTTTAGATGCTCAAACTTTCGGTACATGGGCACGAGATTCTTGCGGCCGTGAGAGCTGGGCTGAGTCGATCCGCTAAGCTCGTTGGCGAGGAGTTCATATCCCACCACCGTTTGTCGGGTCTGGTTGGGCAGTGGCGCGTGCTGTTGATAAAGTGGCGGCTGCCCTGGATGTGGGGTGAAAGGTGACGGCACGTGCTGGAGCTGGCCGTCAGGTGGCCGTATCGATAGTGGATGCGCATGCACTGCTTCCGGGGACTGATGAGGCGCATATCCTATGGCTAGCGGAGCTGGGAATGAAGGCATAGGTGCCCATGCTGGTGGGGAGCTGATTGCCGCAGGCACTGGAGCCGGAGATGCACCAGAATAGCCTTGCTGGTTGTACATCGGCATCGGTGGGTAGCCGTAGGGGTGTTGCTCTGCGCCATATTGGTAGTCTCCGTACGGCTGTGGTCTCTGGAAGATGTGGCTAGCAAGTTCGCGTTCCTGCTGCTTGAGACGTCTGGCGTGCGGATCACTCTGATGAGACGTCGCCGACGGAGCTCGAGGAGGGGTTGTTACTGCCGGCTGTTTGTTGGGCATCTGGTTTCCTTGATTAACTTCCTCATCGCTCTCTGACCCACTTTCACTCTCCTCTTCACTGCCCTCTTCTTGGTTGGCTTCGACGTCATCTCCAGGGCCATGCACAAAGCTACTGGCGTACAACGGCTTCTTGAACGACCGATAGTCCTGGTTGGGTTGGTGTGATGATGTCTGGAGGGACCGCCGCGTGGAGGCTGGTGAAGTCATGGCGGAGTCAGGATGCTGTGAGTCTGCTGCCACAGATGATCGACCATCGTCATGCTGAGTGTCACCTGACGAGGATGACGATGACGAGGCAATAGTCGATGGAGGCATAGCCTGAAGATCCGTAGGCGTAGGACTTCCAGGCGTGTCTTCAGATTGCAGAAACTGAAACACTCCCGCTTGGGCAGCGTCCATGTTGTTGAATGTGATGCTTTGCATCGCCGTGGGTGCGGGCGGACTCTGGCTTTCTTCAGACTCTTGGTACTCGGCGACTTGGCTATAACCGCCGTACGGTCTCTGCATTACTGTAGAGTTACTGTCACCCGACGCATCTGACTGTTGCGTCACACTCGAGACCAGAGAGGGATCAGACATGTTGGCCATATTCCCCGCATGCCGTTGCAGAGAGCTGTGTTTACCACGTGCGTGTGAGCGTTTCGCGGCGTCGTCGCCAGTATGCCTGCGGCGCAGAACCCGCGGATCGACCGGAGTACCAACGGCAGAGCTCCCTCGTCGTCTTGAGCGTGTGCTGACCTTGCTCTTGCTTTCTCTTATTTGACCGAGCCGGGGCATGTAGCCGACGTTACTGCCCTCCTCATCTAACTCTTCCTGTTTGGCCTGTGAACTCGATCCAGTAGTGTCGGTATGATGTGAGTCGCGTCTTAGCAGCTTCTTCAAAGTGTTGCGAGGCTGTTTAGATCTCTGCTCGCTCTCGTCATGGTCGTCTCCGCGTGACGGTGAGGCCGAAGGTGGAGTACCCTTGGTGCCCGAACTGGTGCGTGATGGACGACGTCTAGTGTGTGGTGCGCTAGTAGCTGAACTCGTGCCTATGTCATGGAGGCCGTCGTAGTGGTATTTCGGATTGCCTGTGCGTGGACTGCGCTGTCGGGGAGGTGAAGCTGCGCCCTCAAAGGCTGCTGCTGCTGCTGTATGATCCGACTAAGTATCGGAAGTATCTACGTCAGTTTCCAAAAGCAATATGGTAGTTCAGGGCAGAG